CAGTACTACCTATGACCAGTAACGCCCAGTACTACCTATGACCAGTAACGCCCAGTACTACCTATGACCAGTAACGCCCAGTACTACCTATGACCTTCTTAATACTAGAATTTAGTGGTAGTGTCAGGTAAGTCTCTAGAACTCAGTATTTGCTCTTGGCTTTAACTGTAATTAAAGGGTGGCTGCTCATGTTTGTAATGGAGACAACAGCTAAAGCAAACTGAACATGTCCTTTCACAAAGTGAGTTTGGGGCCCACCAGAAAAGACTCGGTCATTTTTCCAGCCCAAAATCTCCTGGATAAGATGTGAGGAATACCATGTACTGGAAAACTTGAGTCCAACCATGATATTACATGGGGACTCCTGCAATAAGTAGTGAATCCTCCTGTACTGCTTGCTTTGAGGATTGAAGCTGAAACTAAAAACCATATATGAGCTTTTTATGTTGAACCTTGAGGCTTTTCCCACCATCTCTCAATATAGTTTATCTAGGTGCATGTCTTTTAGGAAACACCTCATTTCTTAAAAAATCATTCTGTGCTCAGCAGATCAGCATTGACAGAATTTGTCACTCTTTTTTGTTCTGGTAACTTGTTGTATTTTGTTTCCTATGAATGTTTTCGAAGGTTTCTATCACTGCTGCCTCTGATCTTGCCTCTGTTTTTCCCTCTTGGAAAGAGTCCTTTATCCAAAAAGCCATTCCGAGTGGATTACTTGGACAAAGATGAGAATCTCTACTTGTAAAACTACCACTTTTTCTTCTATTGGCTTTGCCAAGTCTTTCATCATTTTTAAAGATCTCGGGGCACTTTAGAGTGTGAGGGATGAGCACACAGCTGTTGGACTTGAACTCACATGAGAACTCTTCAGCTGTAAGAAGTAAATTTCAGACCTTGTGGTTGCCAAAAGTGGTCAGGAATGTGGTCTGTGGTTTCTGACTCTTCAAAATAAACTGGAAGGAATTCTGCCTTGCAACAACTGGTCCCATGACTCCTGGAAGGTCAGGCTCACATATGCATGCTTGAGATGTCCCCTCATCTCAACCTCTTTCTCTTTTCTCAAGGATGCTGAGCATGAGAAGTCCTATCTGTGTCTGTTACTCCCCTGCCTGAGAATGGGAGCCATCATATGTCCTACTCATCTGCCAGGCTGATCGTTGGAAACTGATTTGACTTTTTAATCTTCTGAGAGGCTGTTATCTGTGCTGGGCAGATGCTGCAGCAAACGGATATCAGATAAGATCCTAAAGTGGCYGAGTGATTGCTTTTCACACTAGCTCTGCTGCAGTTGTGGTGAGACTCAGATTTTTCTTAGTGTTGCATGAAGAGCCTCAGACTCAATGCACTTGTTCCTGATTCAACTCCTTGCATCCTAGTTCCTTAGGCAATGGACTGATGGTAGCAAAGGCTTGGRGGACATCAAGTAGGGTCAGGTGCTGCATGAGAGTTAACTGCTGTAATGTCTTCCAGAAGGTGAAACTGGACAACTCTACCTCAGCCTAAGGATCTTGCAGTGGAGACACCGTGAAGCATTGCAGACCAAGGGCTGTTAGGCTTTGCAAAAGCAGGTCTGGGTTGTATCTTCCACAGAGGTTGCTCAGTAAAATGGTTTATCTCCTCAGGCAATATCAGCTGCTGCCATTTCAAATCCTTTCTCTTGCAATGTGATAAGAGCTCACTGCAGATGGACCTTGACCTGAAAATAGGGAAGGAAAGCTGCTTTGGAGGCCCTTAAATTCATATCATGATGCTTTAATTCCTTTCTGGTTACTTTTGTTTTGGCCTGGTGTCGTTTTTTTCYGATGAAGATGGGGAGGGATTGAGTGGATGGGGGCGGGGGAAACATTCTTTCAGAAGGACCTTTTTCAAAGCAAAACCCTTAATGTACACATTCCTGACCTCTTTGCTATTAGTTTCTGTAAGTCTGTTAGTACTAATTGGCTCCGCATAGCGCATTACTGATTCAAGCCTATAACCTCAGATTTCTGCCTAGGGAAAAATGAAATGCTTCATTTTTCTGCCAGAGCGTCATGAGTTGGAGAGACAGGCATCACAAAGCCATTGAAGGCGTATCACAGAACACCTAGGAAGTTGATACTAAAAAGGCAGGGGATGGAAGGAAGTTATAAATCCTAAACTTACGGTTTATTCTTTGMTCTTCCAACTCTCCTAGCTTGGCAAAACCAGACCTTTCCAGTGTTTCCTGTTGATGATGCCAGAAATGGCATCATCTGCTGGCATGCTGGTGCTTCCAGTTCTGATCTCAGCTGAGCAAAAGTGCACGGTTGTGCAAAACCAAATGTTCARTTACCTTTGTTTAAGGCTTTCCCTTCCCCTTCTCCCCTATATCTCTCAAATGATTCTACCTTAGGGTAGATGAAGCTGTTTTGAGCAGTGTTTCAGTGCTAGAGAAGCATGCAGTACTAATGCTCCTTTTGTTCTGGTTTATGCCAGGTGTTATTGGAAACAACAAGGCTATAGGAAAATACATCACAACCATGATTTTTCTGTATTTTGCCTGCCTCCTTCCATCTATAGCATTTGGGTCACTCAATGATGAAAACACCAGAGGAGCTATTGGTAAGTTGGTCCACTTTGAGATCCAAGAAACAGATGCACATGTGTTCAAGTTGATTAGACTGCTCTAGTTCGTGAAAAGTTTGGGTCATTTTCCTTGAAGGAAATATCACCAAAGGCCTTTCTCCCTCTTACATTCATGACTTTTTCAAATGGTTTGGAAAACCACACACACTTTTCATGGTATAATATGACCAAAAGATAGAAGTACAGTATTTTTATGAATAATCCCGTATCTTATAGCTGTGCAGGAGTTGCCTGCAGTATCTTCCTGGTAGCTCCTCTGCTTTTGATCTCAATTTGGATGCCAGTCCCCAAGCAGTTGTCCTGCATGCTGCCTTGTGCTGTAGCACTGAAGCTGTTTAAGCTGCAATTGCAGTTCATGGGACTGCTTGAAATCTTGCCCTGAAGGTCTCAGTAAGGCTTGTTTAAGGTTTTATAGTGTTTTTGAAATTACTTTCATAGTCCAGCATCTGAATCTTGACTGCCTCCTAAATTGTTGGTACAAGTTTTGTTGAAGGGTCACTACTCTTTCTCAGAATGTCTTGCCTTTAAATATTACCATGAGTCTTTTGCATTAATGAGGCATGAAAGCCAACTGTTATGTTTCTCAGAGTGGCATTGATGTAAAAAATATTTACAATCTTTTCCAATTGCTTGTAGATGTGCAGAAGACAATCATTGGCCAGTGTATCGGAGGGCTGCTTTATGCCCTCTTTTCAGGGCAACCTTTAGTTGTGCTCCTAACTACAGCTCCTTTAGCACTCTACATTAATGGTAAGTTTACAGAACTTGAGGCTGGTGTTATTGTAATTGGGGGAGTGGGACATTGTCTAAGAACTGTGTGATCCTGAGCACTCTTTCTCTTTAATAAATCAGGGTGCTTCTGGTGCTGAGGGAGAAGGGAGTAATCTGATGCAGGCTTAAGGAACATTGGTTTCTGATGGRATCATCCAATACAGAAGAACCATTTCATAAGAATAAGCATTTCTTCTGCTTCGGGGAGGAGGAAACTTTTCATTTGGTTTTCTCATGTGTCTCTTTAACAACTCTRAGAACAAAAGCCTTGAAACAAGGCTTCTTTCTTGATCTGAAAAGTTGTGATAGGTGGACTTCCAGCTGCAGTTGCAAGCTGAATTTTGTGATCCAGAGGTGGGAAGGAGAAAATTTGAATCAGGATCTCTAGAAACAGGCAGATGAGCTCTGGTTAGTGTAAGGCATGAGGTCTTAGCCAGTAATGCAGTGACTGATTACATACAGTGCAAAAGCAGATACCAAAACCCTTGATCAGCACCACCTCTGAGATACCAATAGCCCAGGAAGGCAAATTCTAATAGCTGATTTCATGGTTTTGTTCCATAGAAGGAGCAATATTAGCAGCATAGGAGACTACTTTCCAACTGTTTATCACTCTGTCTTTAGAGGTAGTGGGGGAAAAATCTATTTGAATTGGTCCAGTGTCTGTTCCATGCCCAACCACACAAAAATCTATCTCTAGATAGACTCTATCACAAGCCTTGTTCAATGCTTGGGATCATTCCTGACTCTAGCTTACTTGTGCCCATTGAATAGGATAATGCCTTGGGGCTCAGTCTTGAGTTGGGTTTTTTTTTGCCATCAAATRGGTAGGGATTTCAGAATGGTAGTGACAAAGCTTAATCTGATGCTTTTACCTTTTTTTCAGTCATCCGAGGAATTTGTGATGACTACAACTTGGATTTTAATGCTTTCTATGCCTGGATTGGACTGTGGAACAGCTTTTTCCTGGTGATGTACTCCCTCTTTAATTTCAGTCTTCTGATGAAGCTCTTTAAAAGGTAGCTATTTTCAAGAAGTCATATTTTGATCAGATTATTCAGAAAATGGAAAAATTATACATTCCAACAAGCTCCTTAATTATAAACTTGCTACAAAATGTATTTTATGAGATGAGGCTAGTATCATTTCAGCTTATTGTTCCAGCTTGAAAGGAGCTTTTAAAGATTCACTGGGGTTTGTTTCCTGAGCTGCAGTCTCAAGTTGCTATATTTTCATGTCAGTGCATGAATATGCTGATTTTGTTAGAATGGACTTGAGTGCAGATCCTGCTACTAGCTGTATTCATGTCTTTTTTCCCTATAGGTCAACAGAAGAAATAATTGCACTTTTTATATCTATCACTTTTGTTTTTGATGCTATCAAAGGCATTGCCAAAGGTAAGTCACGCAACAGTGCTCTGCTTAACTTAGCTGTTCAAGGGAAGTGTGAGGCTAAAAATACAYGTAATACTTGCTTGTTCCATGTCTGCTCATTCAGAGTATTCAGGAAAAGATCAAAGTCCATGAAGCTGTAGCAGCCTTGTGCCAGCACTTGGATATGTCAAATGTATGATTTTTAATATTCATTAGTTAAGGTTTTAACTTATTAAATGGATAACCTGTATTAATGATGCTGGGAAAGCCTTTCTCTGGTATTAACTGGGTTCCAGACCAAAATAATGCAGTCTATTTTTTTAATGGTACCTGCAGGTCATACTTTTTCTTGATTACTCAGATTATTACAGCTGTGACTGTATGCAAAGGGGAGTTGAGATGGGTTGAGCTTACACATTTCTATGAGTTTGAAGGCTTTTTCTGTAAGGCAGTGTAAGGATGGTGGGGGCCTGCATGCATGTGTAAAGCAGTCAGTTCTGCTATTTCCAGCCACTTGGTCMCCATTTGTGGCTTAACTTTTGAATGTACACCTAGGGGTACAAAAACAGCAGTTTCACGTGCTAATCTCTGGCAACTTTCTACTTTCTGACCAGGAATTGCAATGCATATTTCTGAGRAAAAAAWTTAAAAAATAAAAAAAATTTAAAAAMAGAAGTGCCATGCAGATGGCAGTCTGTCTGCTCATCCTGACAAGGAATTGGATGAGTCAGATTCCTTGCTTTATGATCAGTTGTCCAGAAGCCCCAATATCTGCRCTATCTTCTGCAATCCTTCCTGCCGTGCCTAGCTGTGCTGAGCAAAACTTTCATTTTCCCGATTGTTGAACTTGGCTCTTTATGGTGCCTTGCRTGCAAAGACAAACACCTTCAAAGAGAAGGTTTAACACTGCAAAGCAGTTAAGTGAGATTTTTCCTGACTTTATTGAGCATCCTTAATTGCCTTCTTGGGCATATGCTCTCATCGTGCAGTCAGTGTTTTTTCCCCTGCAGAACACCTGTGTTTTTCAGATATCCTTTCCTGATAGATAAGGAAAAACTGTTCCGTGGTATTTTCTTCTCAGTGCTCAACACCCAGGTCTATTTACATGGTATATGTTGTTAGTACCCTGATCTGGGTGCACTGGACCATTTCCCTGGGGCACTAAGGTGTTGCTCACYGAAATATTTAAGGGATCTAATAATTTATACGAGGTCACAGTGTTTTTGTGAAGTGCAGATATGCCTTCCTGTAGTCTGGCCCTGGGATGCAGGCTAAAGGACCAAAGCATCTGTTCATCTTAGCTGAYAGGCATTCAGGAGCATATAAATAGTATTTAAAAGGATTGCTGAGGGAAAGGGAGAGGAGTTTGGAAGTAACTAGTGTGATTATCCCATCTAATTGAGTAGAGCTGAGCTTATAGGGAGTAGTAGTAACAGATCAGTACCTTATTTGCAAACTGTCATTGATTTGAGCCACATGTGTGTGCTCAACATACGAGTAAATGAGACCTCAGGTCAAATCAGGTCGTCAAACCCAGAAGCTTGCCCAGGGTTTATCCCAAATGATCTGCCAGTGTCATGTGGTGAAATTGGGGACAGAACTTGGGGACTCACTGCTTTTGGATGTATTTTTCTRTTTTCATAGCACTGGTCTGCAAGGTACCATGTGCAGGAAAGACGGGGGGAGGATGCAGTCCCATACAGAGGAATTTGGACGTGTGCGTCCTCACTCTCCCAGGGACACTGTTTTCGGCTTGCGGCCCAGCCACCTAAGCTGTGTTTGTTTGATCTTGACATCTGCACTCTGCAGGAAACAGCTCCGAGCTGGCTGAAGCAAACAACAGAAGCTAGTGTTGTTGGAGGGAGCTTGAACATGCACTGTGCTTGAGGATGGCTGTTTTRGGAAGGGTTTTGCAGTGCGCCCTGAATTTGGGCAGTCAAACTCACTTAACTTTCTGTTATTAAATAACTACATGTGCAAAAGTTCAATATTTTTATAGAGTCCTTATTGCAGGAGAAAGGGCTTTCCTGGCCGTGCTGGCGTGTTCTTGTTGCAGTAGCTAAAATAGTAACTAAGTTGGAAAGTTACCCTCAGCCCAAGGCTTAGCAGAGCTGCTTAGCTGGTTTTGAAGTAGTGAACTGAGCTGAACTCACTATGAGGTAGGATGTGTAGCCATGGTTAGGCTTAAATACACCAAAATTGTGCTCAGTCTTAATYTCTGCTAGGCCGTTTAGGTTTAAATGGGGAGTTCTGAAACCCTGAAAGCATTAAAGCTGTTTTATTTATTTGAATCCTAATCGAAATACAAAGGCATGAAAATTTATCCTGCATAGCTAGGCAGTGGTGTGTGCTGTCAGTTTATCATATGCTTGATAATTGTGCCTATATCTGGACTTAGTAATGCTTAGGAGCTGCTGAGACAGTGAACAGGTCTTTAGCCCTGGCCACCTGTTAATCCTCAGGAAATACCCCCTGTTACTGGTTTTTGTTATTACGAAAACGTCCTTTAATGTGCAGAGCAGGAAACTGTGAATCCTCCAGCCTGCTTTGTGCTGGGGTACAGGTCACAGCAGCGCTCCGAGCCTCATCTTACCTTGCTGCAAATTAGGCGGGGGTGTCTGGCTTGCATGGATGCAGCTGGGAGGATGAAGGGAGGAAATAACAGCGTGGCCCTGTCCCTGGCACGCGATGCGGAGTGTACGTGGTGCTAACGCAGATCATAGCGATGGTCCTTGCAGGGGGAAAACATTCTCGTGGTTAAATGTGCCGTTATCACCTCGCTTCCAGCTGCTTTAAAGCAGATTGAAAGGGTAAAGCTTGAGTCATGAGCATTTCTCAARGATGTTTAAGCTTATGTATGAAGATATTAAATATGAAATGACATATCTTATTCCCTCAGTGCCCTATTGACATCATCCATTGGTCAAGCATCTTGATGTTTTAAAAAAAAATAAGAGCACCAAGTAGGATTTTTACTCATATAAAAGTGTCATTGTGCTTAGACATAGGATATTCTATACCTGGATTTACATTTGTATTTTAGATTTTTTGATATTTGTATTGGGATCTCTCTAAGAACAGGTAGGCTTAATTTTGCCCGCTTTTCTATGTAGTTAGTGATGGGAAGGGTAAAGGTTGCAYTTTTCAGAAGCTGCATGGAGGGAACGTTAACCATCCAAGTGTTGGGTTCCAGGACTCTAGTCTAAAGAAGGCAATTTTGGAAAGTTTGAGTTTTCTCTTGTGCGAAGCCTGATGGGGTATCTCCACTGAAGGAAAGACAAAAACTGCAAAGCTCAGAAGGGTTTGTTCCCTACCTCTCACGGCATCCTGTTGCTGTGCAGGAGTTGCCTGCTCCTGTCTTCACACAATCCTGGTTTGCTCGGGCTGCAAAACCCAGCTTGCATCTTTTGGATGTGCTCGTTCCTTGTGGTCCCTCAGGTTTAATCATCAGGTTAAATCATCTCGTTTACRCTTGCATATACTTGGAGCTTCTCAGTGCCATAGAAATGGGAATGTGACAGATACGTACCCTTTAAATGCTCAAGAACAAGAGTGTATTTGCCTAGTTGTTAATTGTGTTTATAAATGACTCTGAATTAACCTAATGTAATTATGGACAGTTCCAGAGGCATTATTGAGTCTTTTACAGGTTAACTTTAGATGCTGTGTAACTCTATTTGCAGTGTAACTTAATGTGTGGGGCATGCAGAATCTGGTAGACTATTCAAATTTATTAAATCTGGATCAAACTCGAAGAAAGCTGCTACTATGGGTAGCACAGTTTGTTTAAGGATTTGGGCAGCTTACCCATTTTTTTTCCAGAGTTTCTGATGCAATTTGTTTAGCAGATTGCAGAAAGGACATGCTTTACTTAAACTTGTATTTCAGAATAGTAATTCCAGTGTTGAGGACTAAGTTCTATAAAAATTAAGCACTGTGAGCCTTACACTTGAAAAATGGTGCTTAAAATTAGTGTACCTTTTACCTGCTAAAGTAACTGCAAAAGAAATCTCTAAAGCGCTGGGTTTGTGAGAAATGGCTCTCCTGAGTCTTTACTGGTTCAGTGGGGGTAGAGCTATAAAATTGGTAAAGCTGAACGTTAATAATACTGCATGATCAAGCAAGAAAGAACCACATTATTTTAGTTGCTTTGATTGTCACAAACCTATCCTAATGCTTGCCTGTTGGTTGTTTGTACAGTTTTTAAGAAATATTACTACTATGGGCGCGCAGGAGACAGTTACTTGGAAAAAGCACGAATTGATGCTATTCCAAGCTTCGGCATCAATACCACCTTCTTGATGAACTCATCAGTGAGCAGATCCATGTCCCTAGAGAATCAAACAGGCACTCATGATGTGCATTATGGACGTGAAACTGCCGTCCTTAGTCTCATGTTGATGTTGGGTACCCTTTGGCTTGGTCATACGCTCTATCAGTTTAAGAAAAGGTGAGTTGCTTTAGTCTTGGAGCTCAGAATGCTGATTATTTCATATTACCCTTAAGAAATTGCTGGTGATTCTGACCCTAGTTTTGGACACCAGTGCAAACAGGTGGAACTCTTCCATTAGCTGAAACAAAAGCCAAAGCTGAAGGAGAACTGGGCTGGCCACCTGACAGCTGGTGGTGGTAGCACAAAATGCCCAGTCACTGGAAGATGCACTTCTATGYTTGGTATCACAAGTGTTCTCTAGAAAGCTTTGGACCATGTTTTTCACATTGGAACTCTTGTGACTTTCCCTAATTAGGAATTAATTCATTTTTGGAGAGGTGGGAGGGGGGTGAGAGCAACATCCACAATAACACTAAGATTTCCTGGGACGAGACCTGCACAGTGCTCTTGAGTCATGCCCAACTCTAATGGGAGTGTTACTGCTGTTTTCTTCAATTCATCCCTTTAAATGCTTGAGTAAGCGAATAAGCAAGAAGGGAAATTAGGCACAAATACAGTGGTGCTGGAAGACTCTCTTCTAGCATGTATCTTAGCTTCTTGCTTCTTTTAAGTCTTATTTTCATCAACCTTGGAAGGCTAGATCCCAAAGAGCCTGGGCCTGAATTAAAGACTTTAATTCTTCAGTCCAGCATCTCTAGGATGGCAACAGTGGACAGAAYACTCATTTGTTAGAAATGTAACATGATCTGTTATGAGCAGTTATATCATCAGTGTGATGTTGATGAGGATTTTTTTGTCTTAAATTGCAGCCCATATTTGCATGCAAGAGTCCGTGAAATTCTGTCAGATTGTGCCTTACCGATTTCAGTCCTGACTTTCTCTGTTGTGGGCTCCTATATCTTCAAGGAAATAGAAAGTAAGTTATCTTGTTGTTTACTTAAAGTCTGGGGGAAAACATTTAAGTTATGAAAATTTCTTGGTAATGTGCTTGTTTTTTCAAAATCCCAGTGCTGCTGTGTAATTTCCTAAATGTGTATAAAGACAATCCTGAATTACTTGATATTAGATTTAAATCATTCAAAAATCCAATCAAAAGAGGCTGTGTTTTTTCTTGCTCTAGGAAAAAAAAAAATCAAGTCTGTCTTTCAGTCTGAATGTAATCTAAAGTACGTATCTTTACCAGAAATTGTTGATCTTTATTGTAAAAGAACAAAGACCAGGGTAATTAGTAAGCAGGAAGGGTTGCTGCCGATTTTGCAGATGTAGGGTTGATGATCCCAGTCAGCCCTGTTTGTCTCCACTTTACGTCTTCCTAATTTAGGTGAAATGGTGCAGAGCATCTGGGCAGCTCTAAGTTACATGAGGAAATCTAAAAATGATACACCATTCATTGGCCAAATAGATCAACTTTTCCATATCAGGAAGCGATAATGGGGACAGGAATTGCATTGTCCCATGCTGACGTGAGTAGGTGATGTGAGGAAATGTATGGAAACAAATAAGAAATTACTTTTTTTAATGGCCGTTTCATCCATTTGGGTTGTAAAATGATGCATTGCCATGTGCAGCTTGTTCCTAGTGATGGATTTCTTCCACTTGCAGAAAAAGACACATTGATATTGAGGTGCCTTGCACAGACTTAKGGATACAGGCAAGTTTTAAAAATGCCTCCGAGTAAATTAACTGTGCAAAAAGTCAGCAGYTGGTTAGAGTTAAGGACTTCTAATCTAAAAATACCTTGCATCTGTAGGAAACTCCCCYCTTGTTTCACAAATATGAGCACCACTTTACTAGAACCAGCTATAATCTGTCAAAGCAGGATGGTATCCAAGTTGTAAGGGCAGAGAGAAAAGCTAGCCCTAAAAATGCTAGATAGGCCTTTTTTTTTAAGCCTTCTGGCTCTCGTATGCCAGAGAACATAACGTGTCTGCTGTGTTGATTTCCTCATAGTTCATGAYAGGTGAAACATGACTCAACTCCATGCTGATGGCTGGATACGAAGGTGCAGTTTAATATCATTCCTCTCCTCTTTCCAGTGTCCAAATTTAACTACAACCCGTCCGAGAGCTTGTTCGTGCTGGCCCCGGTCCGGTCTCTCTCCATTGGGTCGGTGATGAGCGCCATGGGGCTGGGATTCCTCCTCTCCATGCTGTTCTTCATAGAGCAGAACATTGTGGCCTCGCTCACCAACGCCCCGGAGAACAGGTAACACATAGAGGCATTTCTTCTGCCTCTACTGAGGGCAAAGCTTCCCAGCACCACCACTGCTGATGTTCTTGGTGATTCAGTGGTTCAAATGGGGTGATCTTTGTGTCTCTGCATTGTGCAGTGGGCTTCTGTTTTCAGTTTTTACTGCTGAAATTTGGTTGACTGAAAAGCCATGATCAAAAATATATGGCAGTATCTTAATCTGGGAGAGGTAGCTCTGGTTTCTCCAGAGTGGTCTCTTATTCGGGATGTTGCTGTGCTCAGTCTTCTGCTGCTCCACACTGGGGGAATAGTAATCTGCAGAGGGGAACATGTACATGTTGCTATTACTGAAAAAAACATAAATTCAGAAGATTAATTCTACCAATGCAGTGTGAGTGAACGATAACTAATGAGAATTTATTACCCTGTTCTCTCTTTTCTTCTGCTAAATTGCCTCTCCAGACTCAACTTTGACCGTAGCTTGTTTGGATCAGGAGAGATGCTCAGTGTCTGTTCTTCAGAAGTTCTCTTGTGGAGATGATAGTAGTACTTTGGACACTTTAGGGCGTTAAACAAAAGAGTAGTAGTGTGGCAATGAATCAAAAAATGCAAAACATCAATGAGCTGAGTTCCTGATTCCCTTGTGGGAATGTTATGTAGCACTAGCTGTTTAGTGACTGTCTGACTGATGTGGTCACTTCTATTGCCCTTGGTGTATAGAGAATTTAATGTACAAGTTGGTTATCCGTAGCAGTGTCTTAGGATCATGTGCTGCACTTGAACATCAGAGAATTCATCTTTTTGAGCTGTTTGTGACTAATTTGGAAGATGGAAGCCGAGTAGAACAGTGTGTCTAATGTATTTTCACTTTTATCTGATAGGTCTGATTTATGTGCAAACTTGAGCCAAGATTTTACAGTATTAAAATATTCCCTTTGAAGTTTTTGTGCCAACTGTGATCAGATATGGTATCAAAAATGAACATATAGGACACTTTTTCCAGGGAAACGACCATGTCTCAGGATTTTTATGTTATTGTAATGTGTGAGAGGGTTTTCTCCTTAAATAAGCTTACATTAACATTCCCTATTGTAGCTAGTTCTATTAGACTGGGGGAGAGATGAGCACAAAACTGTTCATACTACTTTGATTTTCTTTGGTCACTTTAATTTTACTCTCCGATTATTTCCTATTTGAGCAAAATGTTGTATACATTTGTGATATAAATGGTCRCTCTTTTCTTTACATAGATTTCAAACCTACCATTAGTGTCCCACTGAAATATAAAATATCCTTTGTAGTTTTTGTAGTGTTTTTCATAATGCTTAATAATGGATTGTGCATAATTCTTCATAATATTAYGTGAGGCTGAGCTTGTGCTTGATCAGGTATCAGAGCATGTTTMTGAAGAGAAAAAGTAGGACTACTTCTGGTTTTGATACCATCATAATATGAAAATATGAACATCTGCACCTGTAGTTCTGCAGGTACAATGTGTTTTTTACAGGTACAGTAAAAGGAAAGCCTTATTAATACTCTCCAAATATAGTGAAAATATAGAGGAAGATGATGCCTAGAAATGCCCTCCTGCACTTCGCTAAAGAATAATCAATGCCAAAGAATAATAAATGCAAAATATACAGGGCAGTCAGTGGGAGCATTGAGCACCATGGTTATAGTCCAGCATAAGGCAGCATGGAAGCTCAGATCTCATCTACTCTCCCATCTCATCAGCGTTGCAAGGCTGCTGAGACCAAACAGTATCCCAGGGGAACTAAAATGATGCTGGTATTAGATGCCTTGCTTGGATATGCCAAGCCCTCCAAAAGGGGCAATTGGACAAGAGACGAATGTCCTGGGGATGCTGAAAATACTTTTTCCCTGAGTAAGCGACATGTGAGCTTGGGCTGTGCTCTCAAAGCATGAGCCAACATGGGTACCATGTCTACAACCATATTGTCTGCAACTCGCCCTTCTTTCAGCTTCAGAGATGTTGCAGTGTAGACATGTCTCTTATCTGGTCATTGAGTGGCCTTTTCTGTCAAAGGAGGTGGGCACTTCCTGTGAGGTGGTGTTTTTTGGTCAAACTGAATTCCACCCAAATTGTTTGCCTAAGCTTTGCCATTTGAGATACTCTGGGTATCCTAAGATCTCTTATGCATGAAGTTTTATCTTCTGGCCCCATGTTCTAGAGCAGGGAGGTTRGACTAGATGGTCTCTAGAGGTCTCTTCCAACATGAACTGTTCTGTGAATGCTTCAGATGGCTCATAGGTACTGAGATGAGCCTGCTTGGGTGGGATGAACCCACCTAAATTTGTCCGAGCTCCCTTTCTAGTTGCCTGTGCCTAAAGATCAATTCAGCTAATCCCTTGTGGCTGTTGTATCAGGGTGAGCAGAACTGCTTTCTGTGCCCTGCTATCCAGGTACAGAAACGGGACTGTATATCTTGACAATAAAAATCTGACAGTTAAATCTTTGAGGGCCTCTTTCTAAACTTTACTCAGAACATCTGAGTTGTTACTAGCTGACCGTGTTCAAGATGGGTACAGGCTTTGCAAAACCAGTAAGTTTAAAGTAGATGCAATGAAGYGTGAGCAGCCACTCTCTAACACTCCTTACACAGTGAAAGAGAAATAGCCAGACCCTTTGTGAAGGCTGTTAACCTCCATCTCCTCTAACAAAGTGGAAAGTACCCTGTGTTCACCCAAGTTAGGAGCCTGTTGTCTTGGTTGACTATCAAAGAGAAGATGATGCTTAATGAATTCATGTCCTGTTTTCTTACCGTGCAGTGACACTTAAATAACTGCAGTGGATTGCTCTGTTCTGAGCACACGTGCAGCTGCTTCTGGGTCTGCTTGTGGGAAAGGCTGGAGATCAGGATTAAAAGCAAGAAGGCTGGGCAAACTCCAGGGTCTGTAGTTCTGCAAACTATACCTAGACTTCTAGGTAATGCCTCTGTGGGCTCTGCCAGCGGAGGTACCTGTARTATTTTGAGTGGATGCCACAGTAATTGGAGCTGCAAAACACTGATGAAATTTTCATGAGCTGTTTTAGTGGATTGCCTTCCTGCTCAGGATTTTTCTTTCAAAGAGATGGTCTTTTCCCAGAGCAACTATCAGGTTTCACTACCTGTGGCTTTCATGCAGTGTAGCCTGTAAAGCAGGAGACGTGTGAAATTGTGCTGTGTGTGGAATGAACTTCAGTGTCTAGCACTTGCTAAATGAACTTGCTAAAATGCTAAAAACTTCCCGTTTCAGGTTGGTGAAAGGAACAGCCTATCACTGGGACCTCCTGCTTGTTGCACTGATCAACACAGGGCTGTCCATCTTCGGCCTGCCGTGGATCCATGCTGCCTTCCCTCACTCCCCAATGCATGTCCGTGCTCTGGCCTACGTGGAAGAGAGGGTGGAAAATGGACACATCTATGAAACGTAAGAGATGACATCTCCATAGAGGAGATGGCAGGATAGAGATGAACATGGCATTAAGTGTGGGKTTTTTTTTTTTGTGATGTGGATGAGGCAGACTTGAATTTCACACTGTAGGAGAACAGCCTCTGATAACCCAACCTGCAGACATTGAGCTGAGCCTGCCAATACAGCTGTAGCTGGTTGGGAGGAAAGGTCTTAACCACAAACTTGTCTAATCTTCCATTTTAGGCTTGATTTGTGGCTTCCTCATCCTTTGGGTGCAGTGGGATAAGTGGTTGAGAAGTCTGTCTCCTTGCAAAGACCTGCAAGGGTGAAGAAGGAAGGGAAGATGCTCTCAAAGCCACCTCAGCTAGTATAGCTTAGCCTGTCACCCAGCTTCAAGGTATCTGTTTTAGGAGAGCCATTTAGAAGAGTTTCTGCTCTTGTCTGTGGTTGGAGGCACCTTGAGGTCAGCCTTTCTTTTGCAAGTTGCCTTAAATAGAGTTTGCAAAGGTCTTTTTGTTAGGCTTCTCCCTGTGAAAGGCTGAGGAGATGTTTTGGCTAGGTTCTCACCAGATCTTGCCAGAAAACATCCCATCTGATTCACTGCTTGAAACCTGTTTGGTGGTTATTACAAAGGGCAGGAAAAATGCAGCTTTATTTCAGAGCATCCATAGCATCTTTGACCGCATTTCAGATGGACAAAAGGCTTACTTAATATTTTAATTCATGGTTTTAAACAAAAATGTTTGAAACCATGCTCAGATCCGGCCTTTTTCTTTAAGAACAAGTTTTGTTTTTCTCAGTTATCCAGCACTTTCTTTTATTGGAARCATACTTAAAAACCAATTTCTTATGAAAACTCCTCCAGAACAGAGATTATCTGGTCTGTTTGATCTCAGCACATTACACTTCAGGGCTTTAACCTCAGAAGTGGTAATTTCCACTTGCATTCCATTAGTTTTAATTATCCTGACTTTGTTTCCATTTTCAGAGTCGTCACTTATCAAAAATGAGTCTAAGTGGTCATTTACTTTAGGGGATAGAGCTGCTCAGCCTTTTAATTTCAGTCTTGCCTTCATACTAATCTGTGTCCYGACAGTGCAGCCCAGCCCAGCTGCTTGGTGTCAGTGATGGACGGGCTTCACCACCACATCCAGGAACAGCTGAGCTCTGCTGTTCCTTCCAATGCTTTTACAGCCTTTTTCTGGGAGATCAGCCCCTGTGCTGATGTTCACATTCTTATTTCTTGTTATAAGAGAGGCCATAAGGTATTTTTGCCCTCAATATATGCTAAACCCATCTCAAAAAAATATAATTTCAGTTTCCTTAAACAGCTCTGTAGGGTTTTAATCCCTACCATTGCTGCTTATCTATAATTTGCTCTGAGGTAGAGAATTTACCTTCTGATGCCTATTTACCAAGCCTCCCTGTGACATCCTCTGCACCTTCATCAGCAAAAGAGCATGGCAGGTCCTTTTGGCCTCTGTTTACCTAGTTTTGCCTCTGGTAATTCTGCTCAAAAAGATGGAGCAGGGGATGTCCTGACTAATTGCCCAAAGCTTGTTGCCTTAGGGCCCTGCTCTTGCTTTGTTGGAGACAAGTAGGTGTTTAGATGACTGCTCTGACCTGGATGTTGCAGGGAGCAAAGGGAGTCAGTATTCCCTCACAGTTTGAGTTTCCTTTGAAATGAAAGCTGCTTGTTCCCTGCGCTATAAACAGGAGACTCCATGCAGTGTTGTCATCTTTCCTTTTTTTCCTATTTTCCTTAGCCAGCTTTGCTGGAAGAGATTTGTACTAAAGCTCAATTAAAAAATCAAGAGGAGTTCCCTCAGCACTGGCTCCCTTGGAAGGCTCCTTTCCTGCACTCAGAAATCAAAGCACTCAGTGAGCATAATATAAACAAGAATAAAGATATGTCACAATGAAAGCAAATTTTTCTTTTCCCCTGTAGAGCAACAACTTGAGTTGGCTGTAGGCTGACCTTGGAATCCCTAAATAGGCTGTCATTAGGCATATGTAGGAAGTCAGAAATGGCTAATCCTATGCTATCTGTATTTAAAGGATTCTGAGGGAAACAAGCTTGGATGAGGCACTTTAATCTCTCATAATTGCTTCATTTTCATAGCAGCACAAGCTATTTTCTCAAGAGCCAAACCAGCTCTTGAATGCACTTAAATTTTCAGGTTTCTTCTATTGACTTAACATGATGGCCCTTCATGTCCTTACCTTGGAAATAAAACCAGTGGCAGGCCCTATCATTTCCTCTTCTAACAACAAACTTGCTAAAATACCTTGAGAGAGGGGTGCAAATTGAGACCAGTCTGAGAATGGAGGCTAGCCTGGGAACCTCGCCTCAAAAATTAGTTTCCCTAGAAATAACTGGTAGTTCTGCTAGCTCTAAGTGGCCAGATTCTTCCTTTATTATACCATCATATTAGTCTGAATTAGCCTAGCAGTTACAATTGAAACTTACGTAGCTCTGTCATCTCCAAGATTTTTCTTCTACCCTGGTCCAAGCCAGGAGGCTGTGAGAATGATGCCCAGTTAGAGCCATCTGACTGAAGTCCTAATTCTTCCAGAGCTGGCAAGAACAGTGTGCAGGGAAACACAACAGGAACAAATGCTGGGCTCTCCCTTAAGTTCTCCAAGCATTGGCAGGAACCTCTGGACATGGGGTCTGGAACAAACAGAAGTAGAAAGACTGGTTTCCTCCTAAATCTACCTGGAGTTGTGTAGAAGTTAATACCTCCAGGGTCTCTTCTGTGCATCTTCTGGATGCACAGAATGCTGGATAACGTGGGCAGTCTTTGTTCACCAAGGCATTTCAGTGTTGTCCTCAAGACTTTGCAGTGTTTGACTGCTGTTGCTTAGGTCCTGTGACTGCTGGTGCTTTAGCAATTCTTGCAGGAGAGCACTTAGGCTGTTACTTTTTCTCTCCAAATCTCTCATATTTGTGCATTAAAGAACAAAAAGTTGTTAGGAGACCGATGAGTCGTCTTCAATATTTGAAGTTCAACCTGACCTTGCTTATAAGCAGGACTCTGAGAAACTTAATATTGAAAGAATTTAATCTAATCAGCAGACAGTCGACTTTAGGACAGAAGGGATTATGAAGTCCCCCCACTGTGTATATTAAAGAAGAAAATATGTTGGATCTTAAGCCTGGCTCTAGTGTTAATCTGAGTATTGCGTAGAGGGTTAACTTGAAATATGAGGTTTCATACCCAGAGAAGGAGACCAGTAGATTCTACCAAAGCAGACGATGAACAAGCATATTTCTATTGATACAGGGAGATCTAATCACTAGTAATTATCCACTGAATTGGTGTATGTATTTTCTCAGGTATGTGCAAGAATCCCTCTTTTTCTATTTGTGGTAGCCTTGAGAGAGAGGATTTTCCTTTCCTCCTCCTGTTTCTGGTACTTTTCTTAAACTAGAATGCTCCCAGGTTTAGTTTCTATTAAAAGAAAGGAAAACAACAGTTGCCCCTCTTCCAGCCCCAAAGTAGACTCTGAAAATTGTTGTGTGATTTCCTGTGAGTGTTTTTTGTTTTTTGATTTTTTTTTTCTCCTCTCTATGGTCTTAAAAATATCAGTCTGTGGTCTGTCAACTCTAGCAAATTTGCATTAATTAACTACATGTTTTGCATGGTAATGGGCAATTTGCAGCACAACTGCTGTAATCCACAGCAGAATGAAATTACTACCTCCCCCCATAGTGGTCTTGGCGTTCCCCCCATGTAACCAGGGAGATCCTCACATACATCAAAATGCTGACTCTGTCACAGGGCAGCCTTGTGTGTGTCTTTTCCTTCAAACAAGAGATTCTCTGGTTCCTGGGGAAGTYGATGAGCTTTCTTTTGGATAAAAGCCAATTGCATATGCATTGAGTAGATCCAAGCAATAAACTTTTCTTTGAAATAGGATTCCTGTGTTTTGYAAGTATGTGTGTGTTTTGGGGGGTTATTTTTGTTTTCCCTCCTTCGCAGTATGGTAAACTGAATCAGTTTAGAGGGTAATATAGTTCAGGAGTGGGGTTGTGCTGCTTTGGAGATAATAGAGGAGAAGGGGAATTTGGCACTTTGCCAGCTGCTCTGAGTTGTGGATTAAGTGTCATCTGGCCTGKGTCCAAGAGCTCTGACTTCTCCGAGTCAGCTCGGGGCCAGAAATGCTGATCTCAGTGCAGTGCAGCTGAGCTGTCCCTATGGGTGGCATGTGTCCTGGATGGCCTCAGTTGTGTGTGTGGTATCTGATTATTAGCCTCACCTTATTCCAATCCTCTCGCCTCCAGGATTGTGAGTGTGAAGGAGACCCGACTGACAAGCCTAGTGGCCAACTTCTTCGTTGGCCTCTCGTTCCTGCTCCTCCCCTTCCCTCTTCAGTGGATCCCAAAGCCTGTCCTCTATGGCCTCTTCTTATACATCGCACTGACTTCCATCGATGGGAACCAGCTCTTTGAGAGGGTGGCTCTGCTGCTCAAAGAACAGGTATGTAGGTTGAGGTGCCCTACAGCCTTGGGGCCAAGGAGAGGCTAAAGCTGGGAGCCAGTGGACAAGGAATGGGCTTATTCCTGAAGCCACGTTTCCTGGAGGACGATTTCCACCTGTTCCCTGCACCTAGTGCATCATATTCCTCTTTCTGTGCAAAGAGGAGGTGACTTGATGTCTGTGGCTTAGCTTGGCTGGCCCTGGGACAGGAGCAAGAAAAGTCTCATATTAAAGCAGACAAATGAGTAGGAAAATGATGTACCCCCAAATGGCACTGAGTTTAAAAAAAATAGTAGGAGAACTGTTTATAGAAACACTCTTTGACTTAAATTCGGCATAATCTGCCTTCTTCATTTCCCTGCCTTGAAAGCTTTGGGGTTTTCATGTTCAGAGCAGTCTCAGATGATGCTTTGCTTTTCAGTTCCTCACAGGAGCTCTAGAGCCCCTTTCACCAGCAGACAGCTGAGTGAGCAAGAGCTGCTTCCAAAGAAGACATCACCAAAACTGCTAGATACAAACCAAAAATAAGTTCAAATAATGACTTTTTTTTAAGTATTCTTGCATGTTGAATATAGCTTTCTTTAAAGTCCTAAAAATCCATTGTGATCTGTCAGCTGCAGAGCACATGCACCTTATTAAAAATCATGTCWGCAAATAGTGATGTTTTTCCCTCCCAAACAAAGCTTCAGAACAGGTTGTTTTTTGTCTTCCAGTTTAATTTTTTTTGACTTCTGTTAAATTCCACACAACAGTTTTTTTGCAAGTCAAATTGACTTGCATTATTGAAATCCTTCTGATGTGGCATGAAAACAAATCTGGGGGATCTGCTTCTGAGCTGTCAATATTACAAGTGCAGAGAAGGTATTAGTTTGCAGTGTGGGCAGTATCTGGGAGCAGTAACGAGTCTCCAACTCGCCTTATGTTATGTAACAAGGGTCGAGGGCTTAAGCCCTTGGCTCTGCACTTCTGCTAATCTTTCTTGATCTCTAATATTATATCTCAGTGGCTAGAACTGAAATCTGAGGAAAGCTTACATTTGTCATGTCGATTTTAGAATGAAGAATGAGTAGTTACTGGTGTACATGGAATATTACTTCTGGTTTTAGTACAAATTATGCTTGGAATTTTCCAAGCTTTGGTCTGGAAAATTAAAAAATATTCTCAAATATGGATCTTTCCCCTTTCTGGAAACCTTTTAGTGAGTCATGGCACAATCTGAAATCCACTGAGTCTATATCTGTGCCAGCAGACAGTCGCTCATACCCTTCACTGATGTATAGACAGTGAGTCAAAGCCTGCACTCAGACATGAGCAAGTAACTGTCAGAAGAAACCACGAGGAATATTTAGCTTATTAATGTCAATTTTTTTTCCTCCTTCTCAAATGAGTGGCTTGGATGAGTATAAGCTATTGGAGTGCAGTCTCTTCTGTCATCTCCTGAATCTGATACTGTACAGCTCCCCTCTGAGGGGTCAGGCAGGATAACGGACCGTGAGTGTTGGGTCTGATCAGCAGAGCTCAGAGGGCTGTGAAATAATGAGGAGTTTTGATTTGGGGTAGAGGAACCATCTAGCAACCCCCAACACATCTGCTTGCCACCACCACACTTTGGAGCCTTCATGTATTGCTGCAAAACCCTGATAATCCTTCTCRGGGGAATCGCATCAAGATATTTTGTTGCCCTCCAGACCCTTCTAAGCCAATTTTAGCTGCATGATATAGGCTTTTTCTCCCAGGTTTCTGGTGCCCAGTCATCTCCTATGTGCTGTTGCCACTGGTGTGGTTTACAACGCTCAGCTCTCTAAACCCTGTATTTAGTGGCTGAACCTAACAAGGACTGATATTGATGCAGTGTGTGCGTATGAATCTGACATGCTTAAGTCCCTGGCATCCAAAAGTCTGTACCCTGTGGTCACAATTCCAAGTTGCTGCGTGTCTAACACCGTTCTTCCCTTTGCAGACTGCTTATCCTCCGACACATTACATCCGCAGAGTGCCCCAGAGGAAGATCCACTATTTCACAGGCTTGCAGGTCCTGCAGCTCCTCATCCTCTGTGGGTTTGGCATGTCACCACTGCCCTACATGAAGATGATCTTCCCACTCATCATGATAGGAATGATCCCAATAAGGTATGGAGCTCTTCGTGGCAAAGCTTAGCTATGCTTTGCTGGTGTCCACTGCTTTTTGTCTTCAATGTTGGACTTCTGAGACTGCTCACATTACTTGAAGGACATCTTGTAGTTCTGAACGACCATGTCCTGGGAGTGGTTGGTGGCCTTCACTGGACTTCCCTGCCCWTCCTTTGGCATGGGATAGAATGTCATGTCCCTGCTGGGTTCTGCAAAGGGGATATGAGCTGGAATGTGCTGGTCTCTTTCAACTAGCAGAGAGCTATTAGGTCTCCTATAGCAGTGCTACCAAGGTGATGTTCTTCCTGGGAAGCCTCCTCTTTGGGTATTTGATCATGTTGCTCCTTRGTTTGCAAATTGGCTTTGTGATCTGTACTCAGAGCTTGATGCAGTGTGAATATAAGCAAGGGGTTGTTACACTGGATGTGGGGTGTACTGGGGCAAAGTAACCTTGCAGGAACCTTTACCATAGCAAATGATCCCAGTTAGGCCAAACTGGTCACATCTAAGCTTGAAAAATATTCCCTAGAATTGAGAGGATCCTACAAAATCTTGCAGTGTTAGAAGAGAGTCACTGAGATATTACATTAGCTTGTTCCTGAATGTTCATTAAACAATGACTGCCCATCATTCTGCAGTTAAATCATTCATGCTCTCCATCCTTTGGGCATAATGAGAAGCCATAATAAGATCTTGGAAAGAGCGTATCTGTCTGCAGCCCCTTAGGTTATTTTTAGGCCAGTGAAGCATCCAGTGGTATCTGGTTATTGTTGAACTTGATCTCAGACTTTGTCCATCTGATYGGGAAGTTCAGGACTGTTGAAGACTATCACATCAAAGGCGGCTGTTAGGAAGTTTCCTTGGGTGTTAAAGATGGATCCAGCTCTTTCCAAAACAAAGGCATGTGTCCTAACTACCATGGCTTCCAACTGGATTAATTAGGCTGGGCTTTTTCAGGTGAAGATCTAGAGAGAAAGAAAATCTTGACTTAATCATCTAAATATCCCTTAGCAATAAAATTTGGTCCCTAATCTCTATGTTGTTCTTGTCACTCCTCTTATTTTTTATTTTTCTGCAATTTCTGTGAGAAATTGCTTGCTCAGACAAAGCTTGCAGAACTGAGTTGAGGCAGTAGCAGCAAGCATGAGGATTGGACTCATGCAAGCAGCAAGCATGAGGATTGGGGTTGGACTCGATGACCTCTGAGGTCCTTTCCAACCTTAAGGATTCTATGATTCTATGATTTCTCGAGGAGCTCTGCTGTTGCAAGACCTGTTCTGTGCTAGAAGGGAGGAGCTCATGGTCTGGCTACTGCCTTTTGTGCAGAGCTATCTGGAGGGTGCATTTTGATGTGGGAGTTAAGGAGCTGGCATTCTAGGTAACACGATTGAGCTGGGTATCTATTTTGAGGGTGCAGGTGATGAGGGGTTTGTTTTTTATTTAGTTTTTTAATCCAAGGACAGAGGACTRTAGAAGTGTCTTTAAAACATACCAAGGTGCTTTTCGAACTGTAAACAAAAGTTTGAAACGTGCCAAACAGCTTATTCCTGTGGTAGATGTCACTCCAACCCTCCACATAGGCATCACTTTGGGCAAGTGATTAAGTGGCTGGTAAAGACTTGGTTTATGTGCCGTGGTGGCTGACTGGCTCCTGTGGGAACTGCCCATCTCCAAACAGAGCAGCCCAATAAAGCAAAGCTATTTTTTCCAAATACTGAAGTATTAGATGTAATRTAACTAAGCTTAATTAAGTTATATTAAGCTTAGGCTTAATATAACTAAACCTAACTTAGGTTGATACAGCACTTTCCACACTGATTCTGTGACAAGTAGGTTATTCAGTGGTTGCTAGTATTTCTTTTTTTGAATAAATAAGATGCTATCAGCTCTTTCCTAACTTGCTGTCCTTTCAGCAAGTCCTTTTCTAACTTGCTGTCCTGATCAAGCTTTTCTACAGAGTCTGGTTTATCAGCTGGGTGGTTGCAGGGGGTACCTGATACGTGCTACCTGGCACAATTTTAAAATAAAAAAAAAAAAAGGCCATGAACTTGCCTTTGTTCTGACTTGTGCTTCTGTGTAGTGGCTGAGCTTCACATGGGAAGGGAGCACCACAGTGCAGGGCACTTGAGTAAATAATGGCTCGTACACAAAGACTTGGCAGTTTAAATGGGGCAGAGTGGAAGAGAAGAAATGGGGAAGCATCTCTTTCTGCTGGTGTTGTGTCRGCATGAAGGATGTTGCATCTCAAGGACTTCTCTTTCCCGCAGAATTACAGCGTGTTAGGAGGAAATGTGATCCCTACAGGTATCCCCAATTCCCATCTTGGATTCAGAAGCTTGGGGTGATTATTTTTTAGTTATACTTTAATCCCTGCTCCAAGGAGTGTTTTTAATATTCAGAGAAGTGGGTAAAATGCCTTCTYTTTCAATTCTTCCAATGACACTCTAATCATTTTGTTTTGTGACAGATCAATTTGAGGAGGTTGTGGCATTTCTCAGTACTAAGTGCTGTTTAAGATCTTTTTCCAGTATTGAAAAGGTTCTTCCAAGTCTACTGGTGTCTAATAGTCTTGTTTCAACAGCTAAAGAGCTTCCTTGTTATGCAAAGCCAAGTGTCAAACTATAAATATGCAGTAGGATTTAATGAGAGCAATTTTATAGCGTACTGTTATAGTGCTTTGCCTTTCTCACCCAAATACGCTGTCATAGGGTGGTTTTGAGAAGGAAGAGGGGAAAGGGATGATGAATGCTGTCCTCAATCCAATGAAAGGCACACCAGGTAGGCATGGAGCTCTGCTAGCAGCTGGAGGACTGAATGTCACAGCCCTGCTTAGCCTTTTGCAGTGATTTCAAGCCCTGTTGACCTCTTTCTAYCTTTCAAAAGGTTGCAGAGCTCCTGGGTGCTTATTAAAATCTCCAGGTGTGGGGAAAAGTGGAAGAGGTGCCTCTGGGATACCTGAAGGACTGAGATCCTGTAATGCAAATAACTTTTGTACCAAGGTCTTTGAGATGACCTTGTAACTTTACAGGAGGGTTTCTCCTAGGAGTTGAGTGCCCTGTGTTGGCAGTGTCATTGTGASGGTGCAGGGCTGTGGGGGGTAAGGTTTGTACATGAGGAAACTACAAGGAGAACACCAAAATGGGTAGCGGCCTATAAACTATGATTTTTTTTGTCCATGTAACTTGTCTGTATGAAAGTTGGGGTAATAAAATGCCCTGTACAAAGCTGGAGCATAGCTGTGGGTCAAGTGAGACTGTACATTTTTGTAGACCCCCTCATTAATAGAATGCCCTTGGACAGCAGTTCTTTGTTGTGGGAAGAAGACAATCTCTTCCCTCCCAAATAATCATGGGGAGACTTTTTCCAARGACACCTGCTCTGCTGCTTCCATAATTGCTGAATTTGCTTGCAGAGTTGTTTTTATTTCTCCCTCTTCACCTGAGCTGCAGTTGGGTGAGTCTGTAGGTGTGTGGTCTTGAACAAACTTATCTGAAAAAGAGCAACCAATGTTACGGTAACGAAATGGTAGCAACCAGGCACTAATGCTGTCTCTTTGGTTCCATCGTAGGTATAACCTGCTCCCCAGGATCATTGAAGCCAAGTACTTAGACGCTATGGATGCAGAGCACTAACTAGGATTTGATGCACACAGAAGCATGAAGATGGCTCCTTTTGGAGTTGAAAGGACAGGGTGGCTTTGAGACGTAGAACAATTAATCTGCAGTTCTTTCTTTCACCACTTTCTGCTCTAATACAACATTGGTAATGCACAAATATTAAAGACCAATTGAGCATTGAGGTGTCAGACCAAAACAGCCTTGGACTTGGAGGCCRATGCTCTTCAGAGCTTTGAGGCAAGCAAGCTTTACAGAAACATTACTTTCTACATCCCAAAACTGGAAACCCCAAAGAGCAGCATGTTCGTATGGTTGGAGCATGCATTCCTACAATTGTCACGTGGTCCCTTGTTTGGGGGCGGGAGGGATCCCTTTTTTTATGCACCACATCCCTTTGTTTCCCAAAACACTATTGATGTACAAGGACAGCAGCTGGACTCTGCTTTTCCAGAATGACTGTTCTGGCATTCTGGATTGTTTCCCATGTGTCCAGTATTCCCAAATGGGTATTCCAGGTGGGATGGCCTCCTGGTAAGGCACTGCTGTCAGGAGAGGTGCGGCCATCTCTCCTGAGTAGTGGAAGGGTGTGAAACCATCTTAAATTGGACAGAAAAAAAAAAATCCACAGCTTTGAGTATTTAATTCCTGTGGAGGAGCCGGAGATGTTCAGGGGTTGGGTTCACCTGGTGATGCTCATGAAACTGCATCTGGGTCCRAGTTATTTGGGAATTATTTTGAATCTTTCTACCATTACTGCTCAGTAATCAAATGTGGAAGCGTGGTTTTGCACAACTGCCATGTTCTTGCTTGCACACAGATTCAGAGGCTGCSATTTGTCAAAGTGCAGTTGTGTTATTGATTGCATATACATATGTACAGTAGTGCCTATGTGTACATATATACATATGGATTTGTGTATATATTTTGCATAGATATACAAATAGGCCTGATTCTTTTGAAATATCAGAAGTGTTTTGTGCAATCAGTGTTATCCGTGATGTCTTGACCACTTATTTGTTCTTTGCTTCAGTGCTGCTTTTTCTCATTTGAGATATGGTCACTTTTTTCTATTTTGAAGCTGCTCATTTACTGTTTTTGTCCATATGTTGCTTTATTCAAGTTTTTTTCTTTCTTCCCATGACTTCCAAGATCATCCTTCTGTCTTGATGCTCCAACATGTGAATTTTGCATTTAATTTTTATGTATAGCATGTAATGAAAGTTTTCTCTTGCCTAATGAATAATTGTTGGTCACTTCATTGTTTTTGTAGCTAATCTCATGTTTTTTTTCCATGCTCCCAGACATTATATTATATTTCTGGATGAATCTAACTTCTGCTGTCTTTTATATTTCAGTTTGTTTAATTTTGCCTGTACTATGGTCAGTTTTCTTATTTGAAGTACTGTGAAACAAGCTGTCTTTAGTTGAGGACCTCCCCTTTGCTGCACATAAAGATCTCACAGGTAAAGCATTAAGTAAAAGGTGGAATTCTCAAGATAATGAACTTTCAAAACAGTAGAAGTGAGGAAAGGGGAATATAAAATGAAATGCAAATATGGCAGATTAGCAAAGAGAAAGCAAAGAGAAGACTCTTCTTGCAAATTGCTTGCGCAGAAAATAGCAGAGTCTTATCAGCACGTGCAACTGGTGATTAGATGTTTTTCTGCCCTGTGGAGAGGATGAACTTTGTGATGGGAGAGGATGAATTTAGAGAAAATGTTCATATGCTGAAACCAAGCCAGACTCGCGCCACTGAAGACTTGGTGTATTTACCCTGAATGTCAGGTGGGGTTTCATCATAATGTCGTCCCCTATAGCTTTAATGCATGTGTCGAGAATGGAATTCTCAGTTTCTGATTAAAACTCCTATTTGTTATATTGGCGTTAAACGAGGGAGAGCAAAACACCCTTCTGGCTGCGGTTAATGTCACAGAGCAGTTTCAAGAGAAAACTCTCAGCTATGATAGTGAGCACAGCAGCACYGTGTGACCTCGGTCATGACCTGTGTTTTTGACCAGCAAACTCTTTGGGGACTGTGGATCAGGGTGGCCACCAGAGCTTCCCAGTGCAGGTGACACCAAGCACATGAGATCTGGGACAAAGACCTGAAGGTAACAGGGGTATCTCATGCAATGTCCAGTATGTTGCATGACAGTGTAACGCAGTATGTGATTTCTAAGCACCTTGGTTAGTGTTTTYTAGCTTCTAGGTCAGACCCGTGATGAGAGAACCATCTCATCAACTACCTGTTGCCAGGGTCTGCATGTAGGAATGAAAAGGGAGCAGTCAGGCTTTGGGGTAGGAGATGGTGTCTCTGATCACCAGGTGACAGAAAGAGTAAGTGACAGCAAGTGACTGAGTGCTCATCACAAGGTAGGGAATATGTAAAGGCTTTGGTGATGCTTAGGCTTTTATTTGGATGCCAAAAGATAATCTGGAAGCCCTTGAAGGGAAGGGGACATCTTGAGGTTGAGCRACCTGTTGAATGCAGTGCCCTGGTGATCTGGTGCTTCAGGCAAGCAGAAACAGTCACTCTGTGGACTTGTCTAAACCATGGGTGATTCCCCTGGCTGCAGGAAGGAGAGGACATGCCAGCAGGGAAAGCTCTGCAGCAGAGAGCGTGGAGGGGAGGTAACGATGTGCAGSTCTTCCCCAAAATAGCCTTGAGATGGACCATCTCTTGGGAGAACCAACAAGACCCCCTCCTCCTTAAAGCCTCTTTGAAAACAACCATCAGTCTTGAGTAATGTCAAATGCTGGTAAATTATCTGATTTAAAATCCTGATAACTGGGGTGGCGGTTGTGATGGGGGAATGAATAACTCAGAGCTTTGTTGCTTTATTGGTATGGTTTTAGTGTTTATATCTCCTTGGTAGTATCCATAGGGTTGTTTTGCAAGGGTTTTCTTTCGGCAAAAATCATGGGCCAAAGAATCAACTGATGGGAAAACTGACACAATTTGGGCAAAGAGACTGTGCTGGCTTAGACTGCTTGTGCACTTGACCCGTGTGTCACTATATGGGTAGTAGGGRGAGAGAGGGAACTCTTGGATCCCGTATGACTCAAGGGAGTGCAATGATTCCACAGTGTGCAGTGATTTCACAGTGTTTTTCTTGGAAATCTCTCTCCTGTTTTTGTTTGTTTGCTTCTGGTTTTGCTGACTTAAGTGTAGGCTTTTCCAGGCAGTAGGCTACCTAGGGAAGGGTTTGTTCACAGAGTGAGTTCAGCACTTTAATACTTCTGTGAAGGTTGAGACGGCTGGAATGTAAAAAGTTTTATTATAAGCTCTTTATATACGCACAATGTTTATGTATAAATATTGCCAAAGAATGGGGTTGGGAAGATGTTAATTAGTATTGAGCAAGCCCACCTGGAATCACAAGGTAGTAAAATACTTCTGAAATGAGTGAATTTTGGAAGTTGCTTTTGAGTTGCCAAAACTATCAGAAACTGGGGACACGATGAATTTCTGTGCGCAAATGAAGTTTCTGATCCTTGCACTGAATGTAGGAGCTAGAAGCTGGCTTGACAATTAAAATGGGATTTATACCCAAGTAGTTCTCTTGGTCTGATGCTTACTTCATTGCCTTCAAAAATTCTGTTGATACTGCTGTGTATGGAAATGTTTYTCCATGTAAATTATGGAAACTTGGTGAAATACAGACTGCTGAACAGACAGCATAGCACTTTGTGGATTGCTTAGAAAGCAGATMTGACAGCTTCAGTAACAACCCCCCAAATTCTCTGGTGTCGAACTTTGAAGCTCTTARTAAATGTCAAATAAGTTGATATGCATCAATGCAGCACCACAGAGGGATGGGGATGGAATACATGAAATCAACTGGTTTGCTGCAGCGATGCCATCTGGTGAAAAGCTTCAAGATGAATGTGATAAGTGTGGGACATGATGCACAATTTCTGAAGAACCTGGTCACTTGGGATGCTCCAAAAACAGATCCAGTATCTGGTTGTGTTTCTGTATACTGTGGGACAAACTATTGTCCCCAAGTACCCACGTCTCCAGCTCTAGCAACAGAAGAACTGCTTTGTAGATGTCTTCGTATCGCATGTGGCTGCTTTAGAAACTGCTGCTGAACTGTGCTCCTTGTGACACTCCTTGAAGAAACAAGATGTTGGTCAAAGCTGGAGATACCTAGAGATCGCTTATGGGGAGCGCTGCTGGGAGCAAGGGGGAGTTTGAGTTCTCAGCAAAAAGTGGGTCTGAGATGTGTGCTATCACCAAAAGCACCTCCCTTTCTCCACCCTGYGTTCAGCTGGGCATGTATCTAACACATCCATGTTATTCCTTGATCAAGCTCTTTCTCCAGTGTCCTGTATCTCCTCTTCATGCTGTTTATTTTTTCCCTTGGGGGTAACTGGTACAGCATCAAGGCTGGCTCAAACCCATCACTTAAATCCATTCCCTGAACCTCAGGGAATGGATCTAAGCCACTTACAGTGTCATCTCCTGACTCGGCTCTTGTCCTGCCCAGTCTGTGGGGCGATTGCAGCTGCCCTGCTCTCCATGCAGCCTGCTCTCCCTCATGCTACCTCGTGCTCTTATTTATTTTATTCCCCTCTGGGGAACTTGAGCTTGTATCTGAGCAGTGGCGTGGCAGCGCTTGCTCCCTTGAGGCCCACTTTGCCATAATAGGTAATTATGAAGGGTTTGTAATTGCAATACAGTTGTGCTGTCTTCTGAATCTCTTTAGATGATTACTTTATGGCGCAGCAGTTCAGCTGGGCTGTCCTTTTCTTTAATCTGCCAAGCTTCCAGAGCAACTTAAATAGACATAATGGGATGGGTTTGCCCCGTTTCTATCGGAGCTGAGGCCTGTGGATGCTAGAAGAGAGCAGTCCCCTCTAATTGTTTTCATATCTAATTAAGGCATTTAAGTACCAAGCCCYGTCCATTACACTGCTGGCTGCAGCTCGGGTTGCAGAGAATGAGCCATCAATATTGTGTAAAGAGCAGACAGATGAGGGAGTTGCCAGAGTCTGTGCTTTAGAAATACAAATCGGTGCTTTTCAGCCTTTGTGTGTTCTCCTTTCCAGCTAAGACAAGCTGTGGCTGTGTCTCTTCCCCTTGTAGAAAGCTCCCTGTGAGCCTGGATCACTTGGCATGGCTCTGATGCTGCATTAAGTATTGAGAGTGTGTCCTGTGGGACGTGCTGCCCTCTGTTCCCCATCTGCATCTCTGCTGGGCAGAGTTACTTGTTTGGAGAACTTGARGCCTGTTCTTGGAGCAGAAGAGGGGGTGTTTGCAGCATCTCCTCCCTGCCTCTCCATGGCAGATGCTGCTGCAATAAATCAGACCATCCGCATCCCTCTGCCTCAGGTGGGACTCCTGAAGGTGAACAAAAGGGCAAGGACTGGGCAAGAGCTGCGAAGAGTTTGCAATTAAAATATCTCCTTGACCTGAGTTATGTTGGCTTTTTGCTTTTAGCATGCAAAAAATATATCTCCAGCATTTCCCATTCAACAGCTGGAGGATTAGTTTTGGCGCTTGGGAGGCTTGCCGAAGGGCTGAGGTCAGCTCTTGCTGTGCATCTCCACAACAACCGGTGTCTCAGCAGGGCCTCTCCAAGCAGCTAATTTGGATGAGTTTCACATGACTGGATGAGTGAGTTTGCACAAGTGTCCACGCAACTGATGGTAGCACGTCATGGCCATGCTGGGCTCCAAGACAGGGCAAGGACAGAGGCTGTAGCCCTCGGAGCAGGGCCTCTGTCCTGCTGTGCAGGACGTGGTTGATGGACAGCAGAGTGACT